CTATCATTGAGAAAATTTTAAAAGCCAGTGACATGGTTTATACCACAGATAAAGTAACAAAGATTCAGAAAGAGGGTATAGCTCAGGGGTAGAGCATTTGACTGCAGATTCAGAAGGAGAGAGTGGGGAAAGCAAAGGCTGAGTTCCTCGTGTTCCATCTGAGAGGAAAATAATGTTTTAAATGTTTTAATCTTGTCTTTGGTACTTAGGTAAATACAGGCTTAAAATGTTTTAGGACAATTTCAAGTTAATATAAAACTCCAAATAGATTTTTTTTTTTTTTGCAGAATCTGAGATCAAACCAGGTAGTCTTTGTTGCAAAAGACAAATAGCAAAAGTAGATAAGCAATGACAACATGTGAACAACTGAAAATGTGAAATAAGATGACAGGAGGGGGAAGAAGGTCGCAGGAGAAGTTGTGACCATAAATGCGAAGTCTCTGACTGCACTTGGAACCATTATGACACATTCTACTTGCTCTGCATTGGGTTGTGATCACTCCTCTTTTACTTTTCCCATTTAATTCCTTGAGCACCTGTTTACCATATTACCAGGCATTCCTCTTGGGGGATCATTCATTTATTCTTGATTTATCTTCCTCTTCCCCCTTAATTGTTCAGGAATCCCAGAGATACTTATTTGAGTAGAAAGGGTCAGACTGCTGCTAAATGTCGCTGTCGTGGCTCCTTGCTGCCACGAGGCTGCTGTGGGAGACAGATCCTCTCAGGCTGATGGACAGTGCTGGGTTGACTCTGCTGGGCAGATGGTCAAGGGTTGGGTTTTGCTGGTGTTTTTAAATTGGAGAGGCATGGGCATGTCTGTATGCTGAGAGGAAAGTACCTGTAGGGACCAAGAGGTCAAAGGCACGGGTAATAGGCTGGACAATTTAAGTATCAGTGAGTAGTTAAGCATGAAGAAGCAGTTTAGAATAGAGTTGAGACCTAGTTATCCTTTTTTTCCATCCTCCATAATGGATGTTTCCCTCTTTCTCATTATTAAGCTTCTAACCTTAACATTTTCCTCCCATTCATAGCAGAAAAATCTCATCTCCAGGTTAACAGATAATACAGAAATTCTCAGATACAAACTTCCCCCATAACCCCTACACCCACAGCTTTGCAGTCCTCCTTTTCCATCTCAGTAGAAAAGATAATCCCTCCTGTTGGCCAAAGCTAACTTCCATGATGGTCCTGTCTTCTAGACACTCAACAAGAGTCCTGAGGTCCATTCTAAGCCAAAAACGTTCAATCCTAATTGATGCTTCTCAGCTCCAATCTCTTACCATGTTCCCCTTCACCCCAGAACCCTCACTGGCAGGCCTACCTCTGTGTTTCCTGAATACTCTGACAGGACTCTGTTCATACTGCTCTCTTGCCCAGTACCCTTCCTCTGGAGTCCCTTCAGCAGCGGAAGAAAACCTGGGTATCCTAGAATGGCCCGCGTGTGTGCCTTTTGTGATTGGGCCCCACTTGCCAGCTCTCTTATCTCTTGGCTTTGTTTCTGTTATGTTCAGTTCATCCTAAGAGCTCTGATTATCTCGGTTGAAATCTTGGCTGCGCTGCTTAATAGTCATGTGGCTTTGGGCAATTTACTAAAGCTCTCTGGGCTTTAATTTTTCATCAATAAAATGAGTATAATTGAAGTTCCTGCTGAAAGATTTGTTATGAGGATTAAATGAGTTCATGAATGTGGAGCGGTGAGATCAATGTCTGGCATACACTGAGCATGTGATATTACTCCTGTTATTCATACTTGTATAGCTCCCCACATACACCATCTTCTTGTTCTCTTTTAGTCTTTAAAGAATATAGTTGGGCTGGCACCGTGGCTCAATAGGCTAATCCTCCGCCTGCGGCGCCGGCACCCCGTGTTCTGGTCCCGGTTGGGGCGCCGGATTCTGTCCCGGTTGCCCCTCTTCCAGGCCAGCTCTCTGCTGTGGCCAGGGAGTGCAGTGGAGGATGGCCCAAGTGCTTGGGCCCTGCACCCCATGGGAGACCAGGAGAAACACCTGGCTCCTGGCTATGGATCAGCGCAGCGCGCCGGCCACAGCAGCCATTGCGGGGTGAACCAATGGAAAAAGGAAGACCTTTCTCTGTCTCTCTCTCACTGTCCACTCTGCCTGTCAAAAAAAAAAAAAAAAAAAAAAAGAAGAAGAAGAAGAAGAATATAGTCCTTTCTCCCATTCCTTCGAACCTTTCCCCACCACCACCATTTCTCTGGGTGGCAAATTGCTTCTCATCTTTGCTCAGCTACTGCCTTCACTGTGAAGCCTTCCTGAATTCCCCCCTACGTGCATCTACATGCTAGAGTAGGTGAGGAGTACTTTATCTGAGTATGTCTCTAGACATATCTTTATTGAAGCCATTTTTCTATTTTGTTGACTTGGCTTTCCTTTTGGTCTGTAATTAACTCTAAGGTGCAGATATCAAAGACTAAAGGTCAAATCTAGTCTTTTCTTCTCTTATTATATATCAGTTGGCTAGAGTTAGTAATTAGTGTTTGTTGAACAAATGAGTGAATGAACATGTACAGACAGAAAACAGAAGAAATATAATTTTTTAACAAATAAGGAGAAGAGCTCCAGCTCCCCGATAATGCGCCTGGGAAAGCAGAAGATGGTCTAGTTACTTAGGCCTCTGCCACCCACATGGAAGACGCGAATGAAGTTCCTGGCTCATGGCTTCCACTTGGCCAAGGCCTGGCCATTGCAGCCATCTGGGGAGTGAACCAATGGATGGAATGCTTGCAACAGTCATGGCTGGGCCAGGCCAAAGCCAAGAGCTTGAACTCCATCTGGGTCTTCCACATGGGTGGCAGGAACTTAAGTGCTCACAGTATACATTAATGTATCTCACAGGATACATTAACAGGAAGCTGGATGGGAAGCAGAGTAGCCGGAACTTAAACTGGCACTCTGATATGGGATGGGATGAGGGTATTGCAAGTGGCAGCTTAACCTGGTATGACACAATGCCTGCCTATCAAATCACTATTGATTAAAATGAGACATCATTTTTACTCATTGAATTGGGAAACTGTTTATTTGAGAAGGACTGAGACTGAGGTAGATAAGGAGAGAGAGCCAGCTCCCACTAGCTGATCCACTCCTCAAATACCTGCAGCAGCCTGACTGAAGCCAGGAGCTGGGAACTCAGTCCAGGTCTCCCACAAGGGTAAGAGGAACCCAGTTATTTGAGCCATCACTGCTACCTCCCAGGGTCTGCATTAGCAGAGAGCCGGAATCAGGAGTTGGAGCCCAGTACCAAACCCAGGTAATTTGACAAGGGACCATGGGCATTTTAACTGCTAAGCTACACACCTGCCCCAGGAAGCTTTACAAAAGAATAATATCCGATTTTGTAGACTCTCTCTTGTTGCTGGTGGGAGGGTAAAAGCAGCTTAGCACCACATATCAAAATCCTTTAAAAAGCCTTTTTCTGGGACACTTGTGGTGTAGCAGCCTAAGCCACCACTTTAGATAACCACATCCCATATTGGAGTGCCTGGTTCAAGTGCTTTGGATCCAGCTTCCTGCTAACGTGCCTAGGAGGCAGCAAATAATGGCCCAAGTGATTTGGTTCCTTTGCTCTTTCCCTCTGTCACCCTGCCTTTCAGGTAAATAAATCTTTAAAAATAAAAAAAAAAAGCTGTCTTTTCTTTTACTTCACTAATTGTACCTCTGGTACACTACTGAAGGGAGTCATCATAAATATAGACAAGTTTATGTATGTAAATATTCATTATGCATTATTCATATAAAAATTTGAAAAATCCATGAAATAGTCAATAACACAAGAATGGTTTCGCATTTGGTTTCAGCATATGTGGCAATATGGAAATGTTGAAGTAAGTGAAAAAAGCAGACTGTGAAATATGTTCACAATTATTAAGGAAAAAAATACCCCAAGAACCCATTTACAGGAAGGGCACTGTGAAGAAGTGTACTTGGATGTTTACTTGGTTATATTTGGGTGGTGAGAGTGTGCATGATTTTTCTTTTTTCTTTTATATAGCATCCCAATTCTCTATATAGTTATTTTACAATGGAGTGAAGCCAATAATTATATTTTAAAATAATTATAATTTATATTTTAAAGTATAGGCTCAAACAAAATGAAGCATCTGTTTATAGTATTCACAATTATTTGATATGAGCACATCTCAAATTACTAAATTGATTGTAAGCACCTGGAGGGCACAGACTGCTGCCCTCTATCCTGTATTCGGCTGTTGTGTGATCAGTAAGTACCTGTGGATTTACATGGTGTCGTCTTCCACATAAGGCCCCTTGGTTGTCAGAGAACTCAGCATGGCCTTGTAGGCCTCTGAAACATCTGGCAGCTCACTCAGAATCCATTGAAAACAAAAAGTGAAACAGGAAACAAGTGGGCCTTGGGGGGATTGTTTGGAGGCAGAAGATCCCTGATAGAGAGTAGGTGTTAATGAAAAGGAAGGTTCTAGAAAATGAAGAATTTTGCTTGTAAATTAAATGACTATTCACCCTTTTCTGCCTACATTGCAAGTTAACCACCGTCATCCAGACTTCTATTTGCTATTGCAAAAAATGTTGATGTGATTTTTAAAAATTTTTTTTTATTTAATGAGCATAAATTTCCAAAGTACAGCTTATGGACCACAATAGCCTCCCCCCCCCCCCCCCGTATCTTCCCTCCCACCCACAACGCTCCTCTCTCCCACTCCCTCTCCCCTTCCCCTTCACATCATGATTAATTTTCAATTATCTTTATATACAGAAGATCAATTTAGCGTATGTTAAGTAAAGATTTCCACATTTTGCTCCCACACAGAAACACAAAGTGTAAAATACTATTTGAGTACTAGTTATAGCATTAATTAAACACCTAAGAGTAATTGTGTATTAATTACAGAGTTCAACCAATAGTTTTAAGTAGAATATAAAATGCATCTTTTGTATTGTTGTGGCTTCCTCCCCCCCCCGACCTCCCTCCCTCCCTCCCGTGGCCCTCCCCTCACCCACTCACTTCGGCAGCACATATACTAAAATTGGAATGATACAGAGAAGATTAGCATGGCCCCTGCGCAAGGATGACACGCAAATGATGTGATTTTAAAAACACAAATCACAGGGCTGGCATTGTGATGCAACAGGTTAAGCTGCCACCTGTGACACTGGCATCCTATATGGGTGCTGGTTCGAGACCCAGCTGCTCCACTTCCAATCCAGCTCTCTGCTAATATACCTGGGAAAGCAGCAGAAAATGGCCCAAGTCTTGGACCCTGCACCCACAAGGGAGACCTAGATGGAGTTCCAAGCTCGTGGCTTTGGCCTGGTCCACCCCCAGCCATGTGGCCATTTGGATAATAAATCAGCTGATGGAAGACCTCTGTCTTTCCCGTTTTCTCTGTAACTCTGCCTTTCAAATAAATAAAACAAATTTTTTAAATCACTGTTGCTTTATTTTATTTAAAGGCATAATGTACCAAATCATGGAAGAATTAAAGATGAACTTTTTAAAGGATTTCTAACGTTAAGCTTCTATGACAGATAGACTGTTAATATAGTGTACAACAATTGCTCTTTTTTAAGATTTTAATTATTTATTTGAGAGGTAGAGTTGTAGGCACAGAGAGGAAGAGACGGAGAGAGAGGTCTTCTATCCATTGGTTCACTCCCCAGTTGGCCACAGTGGCTGGAACTGGGCTGATCTGAAGCCAGGAGCTTCTTCTGGGTCTCCCATGCAGGCGCAGGGACCTAGGCACTTGGGCCATCTGCTGCTTTCCCAGGCCATAGCAGAGATCTGGATTGGAAGAGGAGCAGCCAGGACATGAACTGGTGCCCATATGGGATGCTGGTGCCACAGGTGGAGGCTTAGCCTACTGCACCATAGCACTGTCCCTTAACAATTGCCCTTAACTGGGTAAGAATATCTCATTTTGTTTGGCTATAATTAAAAAGTCCCAAAGTGGAGTACACCAAGACATACTGAATTTCAGACTAAATAACTTAAAATTACCATGTACATTCCACTACATGTCAAAACAGGAAAAGCCATAGTATTTGATGTGAAATGAAGATTAGAGCAATAATAAAAGGAAAACAAGAAGCTGCTTACATTTGTTTGGAGTAAGAAAACCGGGTCAATGATTTTCAGTGCAGATGCACTTCTCTTTAGGAGAATATATTAAAAATTGAATTTGCAAAGCAGATGAATTTGCTAGTAATTATTTATATTGTCGAAAGATTCTTTAGTTTCAGAAGGGTCTATTTCAGGGGTCAGTGTGCTTGTCATTATGAACTTGACAGAAATGAGAGAATTTAATGCTTGGATGTTTGATGCCACTAGCAATTAAATATGACCAAAATGAAGGTAACATATCTTTATATGTAAAATTGAAAAAGGGCATCTAATTTGATTTCTAAAAAATTAAGTAGTTGTAGAGCTTTTCAGATCTACCTAGTAGATGAAGGGAGGCACACCTGGAGCTTATTACTTTATCATTTCCAGTGTCTTTCTGAATATGACTATTTGGAACAAGCATACAGTTTTCCTTTCACATTCTGCAGATGAATTCAAAGATTTCAGAGTTATCAAAAACATTTCACAGTTCTCCAAGGTAAACTTGCTTAAGAGAAGTCACTCTTCCATCCTATTACAACTTGCAATTATCTCCTTTGTGAAATGATGACTGTAAGAAAAATTGCTGTCACTTACTGAGCATTGAGAATTCCCAGCACTATGCTAAATGCTTTTCATATCATGCTAACTGAATCCTCACTTTTCATTTATTTAGTGAACCATTTACTGTAGAGGGCGCTTAATGTTGTGCTAAGGACCATTTAAGGTGTTGCAGGTTCATCAGTGAAGAATACAGGCAAATAATCCTGCCCTCTGTGGAACTTTCATGCTAGTGTGGGTGGAAGGGCAAGAAAGACAAAAAATACAAAATAAATAAATAATATACTAGTTGGAATGTGATGAATGACACTGAGGAATAGGAGTGAGGAAAGCCAGAGTTGGGAGAGGGAAGAGTCTCACTTTATAAAAGAATGGTCAGGGGCCGTTGTTGTGGCATAGTGGGCTAAGCCTCCACCTGTGGCACCAGCATCGCACATGGGTACTGGTTCTAGTCCCGTCTGCTCCTCTTCCGATCCAGCTCTCTGCTATAAGCAGTGGAGGATGGCCCAAGTCCTTGGGCCTCTGCACCTGTGTGGGAGACCCCGAAGAAGCTCCTGGCTCCCGCCTTCAGATTGGCCCAGCTCCAGCCATTGTGGCCATTTGGGGAGTGAACCAGTGGATAGAAGACCTCTCTCTCTGTCTCTCCCTCTCTCTGTCTATAATTCTGCCTCTGAAATAAATAAATAAAATCTTTAAAAAACAAAAAAACAAAAATTAATGGTCATGGAAGGCTTCACAGAGTAGCTGGCTCCCACAGCTGACCATCCCAGCTAGGGGATTAGCAAGAGTGGGGACCCTGAAATTGGGAACATGCCAGACTTGTTTGAGGAAAGCAAGGAGTACAGTAGGTGAGGACAGAGGGAAAGATGCGGAGAATCATAGGGGACGAGTTCCGAGACATAGCAGAAGAAAGGCCTTGTTGGGCCTTGTCAGCCATCACAAGGCATTTGAGGTCTATTTTGAGAGATGGCAAGCCCTCAGAGGATTTTGAACAGAGAAATGACATAGTCTGACTAATGGTGTAACAGGATCATCCTGGCTCCTGCAGCAAAATAAAATGCTATGACGCAAGTGGTCTTGTCCGGTTTCACAGATAAGGAGCTGAGGCCCAGAGAAGTTAAGTAATTTACCACAGTTCCCATTTACTAGTGAATTAGTGGGACTGGAATTTTAGTCCAGGACTGTGTAATTCAGAAGCTCACACTTTGCCCACTAAAACACACTGCCTCCCAGTTGACAAGCTTGCGACCTTGGCTGGAGTAGATGGCTTTCTTGTGGTCTGCAGTGACCCATCTTTTCCCCTCTTTTCTGGAGTTCTTGACATCTCTGGCAAGACCACTATGTTGCACAATTCCAGAAGCAACTACTTATACCATAAGCCTATAAATGCACTCTCTAAAGTGGCAAGTGTACAGCCCAAGTAGCCACATGTGATGGCCTTGGTCTCCAGTGAGATTGAACTGGCTTTGAACTCTGCTTAAGCCTGTAGCAACATCTGTTTGGTCAGAATTTGTATTGGCCCCACTTCAGTGTATCTTCCTGTCTTTTCTTCCTCTGATAATGTCTTTTGCCAGCCATCTCTTTCCACTATCTAGCAACATGCTAGTCCAGCAATGTGGCATGCTGGGATGTAAGGGACAGTAGGCAGGGGTTTCTCTATGGGCAACATAGGCCCACAATTGTAAGAGAAAGCCTGAGGGACTGTAGGATGTGAGCAGGTGTGCATGCCTTCTAATTAGAGGAAGGAAAGTACGTTTTACTTGATGAATATCAAATTGAAGGAATGAGAAAAGGTGCCATGTAATTGTCATCAAAATTGCTGCTAGGTTTAATTTAAGCTCAACTCGATTTTCTTGTGTGCCTTAAGGCCTAAGTTTTAGGCCCTTGAACCCTTGTTTATGCCGAAACTAAATTTGGTGGTTCATTTGAAAGACGTTGTTTAGACTTTCAAGACTTGATACATAGGAAAGTACTCTGAGATTCAGCTTTAAAAGGGAAGTTTTGATTCGCCATTACTTGATTGGATGACTTTAATGGAGGTGTGTCTGCAAAGCTCTTTAGCATTTCATGTTTCAGAATTCTGCATAGTTAACCCAATACCATAGAGCAGTTTGGCATCTTTTTTTTTTCTTTTTTTCAATTTTATGACTTTAGTTACAAAAGCAATGAAAAATCATGACAGCATCCCTTTTAAGATTAGGTAATACAGGATCCGTCTATGTGGCATAGTGCATGAAGCCGCTGCCTGAGGTGCTGGCATGCCATATGAGGGCCAGTTCAATGCCTGGCTGCTCTACTTCCGATCCAGCTCTCTGTTACGGCCTAGGAAAGCAGTGGAAGATGGCCCAAGTGCTTGGGCCCCTGCACTTGCATGGGGACCCGGAGGAGGCTTCTGGCTCCTGGCTTTGGGTTGGCTCAGCTCCAGCCAATGCAGCCATCTAGGGAGTGAACCAGCAGGTGGAGGATCGATCTCTCTCTGCCTCTGCCTCTCTGTAACTCTGCCTTTCAAATAAATAAATCTTTTTTTTAAATGAGCTAATACTGTGATAATACAGTATTTTACTGAATAAAATATTAGTGCTAGGAATGTAATGCGAGGTTGGGTGAATACAAAGTTTAACTTGCCATTTGAGTCTTTAAGGTTAGTGATGGTAATCATCAAACACAAAATCAATACACTTATAGCCACATCTGAAGTTTTTATTTCCCTTAAATTGATTGAGTCAGAGTACTGAGATCAGATTTTGGTATGAGATCTTACGTCAGGCCCACTCGGAAGTTTTAGGTGAGGATTTGGCTGAGGAAGCGCTGTGCTTGATGGTGGCTGGACGTTTGTTCTTGTGGCTGCTGTGGAGCAAACATAGAGTATGCAGAAAACAGTTTAGTGGTTCCTCAGTAGTGCAAATGTAGAATTGCCGTATGCCTCAGCCCTTCCACTTGTACATAGATGAGGGGACTTCCAAAAATTCGTGCAGCAATGGAATTGAAAGTTAACTTTGGGGGCTGGCACTGTGGCACAGTAGGTTAATCCTCTGCCTGCAGTGCTAGCATCCCGTATGGGCGCCGGTTCTAGTCCCAGCTGCTCCTCTTCCAGTCCAGCTCTCTGCTATGGCCTGGGGAAGCAGGAAGATGGCTCAAGTCCTTGGGCCCCTGCCCCCACGTGGGAGACCAGGAAGAAGTACCTGGCTCCTGGCTTCGGATCGGCACAGCTGCAGGCTGTTGTTGCCATTTGGGGAGTGAACCTTTGTGTCTGTCTCTCCCTCTCATTGTCTGTAACTCTACCTCTCAAATAAATAAATAAAATCTTTAAAAGAGAAAGTTAATTTTGGTGCAAAAAAATGTTCATATCATAGATAGTAGTTTTTCATAATGCTAATTTTTCTGTGAAGTTTTTGAAGACCCTTCATATATACTCAAAAGAATTGAAAACAAGTGCTCAAACAA